AGGTGGGACTTCCTGCTTGACCCAAGAGACTTCTGCCTATACATTTGAACCAATTAAGCGCTTGGCCCCTCAAAGCGCTGGTAGCTAAGGTAACTTTTTGAAACTCGTGCACGGGGGGGTAGAGCATGAAGTGGTCATCCAATTTTTCCAAAAAACTGGTTACCGGTGAGTTTCCATTAAATGTTGCTTCTGGTTTCATCGAAGCGCGCATGGTCTGGACGATGTAACCCAAATCCTTCCAGGGCGGCAGCTGGCATTTCTGGATTCTGAGCCGCTTCTGCAGGCAGCACAGGTTCTTCTTGAAACTCGGCCATGGTTATTCTTCTTCGTTGGGCGCCACTATCAGGTTCAATGTTTCCTTCTTACCTTCTTCGGGAACATGCAAGGACCTGACTCGGAACAGAGAGCTTACTAAAGCTATGTTCAAAATGTGGGAAGTAGACAGGATACACAAAGAAGGGTATACAAAACCCTTTATTTTTTCTATTTACAATAACTTCCGTACTTCGGAATACAGAGACCCCTACTTGGGGTCTCTAACGTAAAAAAATATAAAAAATAAAACTAAACTCTAATTTAACTTTAAAAATAATAAAAACGTGGAAGATTGGCCTTATATTAACAGGAAAGCCGTATGTAGTACAGAGAACTGTGAACACTACAATACGTTTAAAAATTATCAAGAGGATTAAAACCTCTGGCCTGGAAGGCAACCAGCAACTGAGTAAAACTTCTAAGGTAAGCGGCCTGCTTCGACTCACTGCTTCCTCTCTCTCGCTTGGCAAAAAGCCACAACTTAAATACTTGGCGTTCGCCAGACAAACTTTGCATAAATACTTTAACGCTTATAATTCTGGCCGGAAGTAGAAAATAAGAAGTGATAGTAAAGATTTAAAATAAAATAAACGTTAGTAAAACTTAAGATCCTTACAAAGCATCTGAACTTCATATTTTTTCATCCGCCGCAAGGGAAATTGTCTCAAGAAGATTTTTCCCATCTACGCAGCTGAAAAGCTGAAAATTGTTTTCAATATTTAGAATATTACATTTGCTAATCAATGTAGCAAAATGAATCTTTCACGCGCTGGGGATAAAAATGTTTTATTTTCTACATTGTTGCTACTGTTCGCTTTGCAATTGTTGAGGTTTTTAATCAAAAATTCTTTGAGGCTTACAAAATATAAAAAATACAATAAAACTAGTTTAAAATTCCAAATTAGGCTTTGCAGGTTTCCATGCTGGGGTGGAGAATCATGTTATTCGAAATTTGATGAGTCTAGGTACCGTCGTCTTTTCACAATGCAACAAACATTCATGTAGATTTTTCATCATTTAGTTCCTTGAAATATACTACAGGGTGATAATATTTTGTGGAAACAATTTGAAAAGTGATACAGCCGTTTATTCCATTCAAAATGCTGTTTCGAGACTTATAGCCCCCGTGGGCTAACGCTCATTTGAGCTATAAACACGATCTTAACGTCTCACATTTTGCACCTAGGCGTCTCTGTAATGACATACTTGCGCAGAGCTCTATATCATCAACAAATTAAACTATATTAAATTTATTAAATTAATTAAATTATACATAGAAAACTAATGACTTAGTTTACGTTATATATTTATGAAGAAAGACAAAATGCTTATCTACCTAGAGGAATGGATAACTTCGTAGAGAACCGTTTCGGAGAAAACGTCTTATTCCCCCTACCCATTTAGAAAGCAGCGAAAGATAACCAAGCAACCATTTCTCTTAGCTAGAATCGAACCTGAGTCAAAATCCCAATGGTTAGTGGTCCTAACCATTAGACCATTCGTAAGGCCAAAGCCGCTGACTAATTAACTGGCTCCATCTGAGACTGTGAAGTGAGTTATGACTCCGCCATTGTAACTCAACCGTACACAAAAGAAGCTTTGCTAACTTTTTAATTAAAACTGAACAGCGCAACTCGGGCTTACATCAGTCTCCACTTTTGCGCAATCTAAACTGACATAAACTATTTATGCAAAGCTTAAGTATTTAATGAATGAATTTACAAACAAATCCTATCGAGCTCATCTTAAATAAAGCGCAAGTATTCAGAATGGTTAGCGAACGATTCAAGCCGACCTAAATGCTTCTAATGAGTTGTGCGGTGGAGTATCTATTAACTCAGTGTCCCTGCCAACAGCTCTTTGCTGAAGAACTTCATTCTTATATACTCGTTAACTCATCCTGTAGGGAGGTGACGAAGATATAAGGAACAGTAAAGATAAAATCATATGGTAATAAGTCATTTTACATAACACTTTATATATCGCATACTTCTATATATTATATATATTTTAAAGGTTTTCTTAATGGTTAAAATTTAGCTATTTTGATATTAGCAATGGACATTTCTCTTAAGTAAAATGAAATAAAAAGAGTATTTGTACGTTCTGCATTTGGCTACTTTTGAGCAAAGACTTTGTCAAAAATCTTAATACTGAGAATTTCTATTTATTTCGTCTATCACGTTATGTGAATACGGGAAAACAAGCTAGGACTCTTTACTTTCAAATATATACTTTCGTGAAGAAAGATTTAAGGGAAATGAGCTTGTATGCATATTGTAACGAAATTTAACTCCAAAATCAGAACTACGCCGAGACGAACCGTCAACGGTTGTTCTGCACAGGCTCTAATATACGAATATAAACCTTAATAATAATTAGACACAGTGAGTCTACTATTATAGCATCTATTTATACTTTAAATATTTATAGAAAATAAAATAAAGTTTATCTACTTGGATTTTGCACATGCTTCTTGACGAATAACAATTTTATTAACACTTGACATCAAAAGCTTGTCAGTTTCCTTGAATTAAAGCAGGAATTCTCTACTAGGATATCATTCAATAAACATAAAAAATACAATATATAATTCAATTAATGCATTATATTCACAGAACGCTTATATCACTAAGCAAACACGGATCAGAACGTGCATGGCAATGCCGAAAACGGATGCCATCCACAAAAAAAATACATAAAACAAAGTCTCGTGTTCATTCAACAACGTTATTCGTAAAACAAAGTCTCGTGGATATCTCCCGAAGTTTCTTGACGGCACTAAGTGACACATATTACAAGAAAAGAACAGTCGCGAAACTTTTCCGGCTTAGTTAATTACGGGGAAGCCCACTAAAGCTATCTGCCTAAGAGATGGTATATCTTCGTGGAGAATATTTTGCGTGAAACTAGCTCGTATATCCATTGTACATACGAAAACCACGAAAACGCCCATGCAGCCAACCCATTCGCCTGGAATAGAACCTAGATCGGAACTATTTTTGTCAGCGATTTTTATTACTCGATCGTGATAGCCGGCGAAAATTGTCTACTCAACATGTTTACCGGAATACGGATATAGGAGGAAATACCAGTATTTAACAGCTTTTATCCACCCGGCCATTGGTGTGGCAAAATATTAGAGGAAGCTACAAGTAAAAAGTCAAATTATAAAAATAAAATTTGTTTTTCAGTATTTTACGAGCCCATACAAATTAGTTTTGAAAGGAAGTTCAAGGATTAAGACACTGTGAATGTTGATCTAGGATGTGGAAGACTACCTCGCAAAACTTTGTTTTTGAATAAAATCTACAGAGGTTCTCTCAAATTCTGACGGAAAGGTTTCATTGTTTTTATGGCAAAAAGCATATTATTAAACCTTATCTTAAATCTGCGATTTTGTAAATTTTGCTCTGCATTCGAAAACAACATTTGACATTACAGTTTTCCTACGCAATGGAAACCTATTTAAATTTTGAACTTCATTAAAAATGTTTACTTAAATCTGTATCAAAGTCAAAAATATATTGTTCCTTCAGTTTATTTAATGTTTTATTGGACGTACTTATGTATATGAAAGTTGGGCTTTTATTAACCCTTGGACAACTGCAGTTCGTAAGTTACCTTTTCCATGGTCCAAATCAATGTTTACAAATGTTGCTATAAGTGATTGCATATTCTTGACTCCTTTGTGTTTTCATACTTCTGATCAATACTTGCTGAAAATACAAAGTAAAACTTTTATCATTAAAAATTTATTTTCGTGGGTTTGTTGCTTTGCACTCTCACTCGTACAGATCACAACAAATCCTTCATTAAAAATGCATTCAAACTTACGTTTTTAATTTTGTTTCTTGTAATTCTACATTTTAACTGAGTTCTGTTCAGTTTATAAATATACCAACAACAAACCCAAATTTGAAGCATTTATTACCTGCTATTTTGAAACTATCGTATTTATATTCCAACATGTATTATTAAATATTGTCAAAATAAAGTACTCAGCGACTCGTAGAGCCTGCACGCATCTCAAAGCTATTTTCATACGAATAAACGTTCGCCATGCCTGGCATATATTATCTCAGTTTTTGAATACATGGTTTCAGCCTAACAGTTTTGTGTATGTTGTTTGAGTTCAGCAAGTATTTTACACAGGCAAACCAACCATTTTCTCATGCCTTCAAGTTCCTTAGAGTTGTATTTTGAGTTTTAGTTTTCTTTAATATAAATACGAGCTAGTTTCGCTTAAGAATTCTTCAGCTTAGACATTTTTTTAGGAAGTTTTAAAGATATTCCCAGTATACTGTACATAAATAAAATAAGCTTTGGATAGAAAAGAAATTTGAAACTCAATAATTGAAAATTTCTTTCTACCAATTATTTTCAAAAATTCTACAATTTCGCAAAGATATGCTACATTTTTTCATTTATTTGATATACTTTGATTCGGTCTGAGCTACACAAACAACTATTTGTTGCAGCTCTTAAGAACACGAACATTTACATATACGTACAGCAATATATTTATATTTAAGTCAATTAATTACCTCCACCTTATTCAGTTTGAAGTCGTCTCCAACTATTTTAAACTATTACACTCGGAAACATTTTCCATTATTTGAAAATTATGATGTTCTTCATTTTACAACCAACTATATACTTAAGAATTTTGCTTTATCCAATAGGGATGAAAAATGCATACCAATTGGAGGAGAATGCAAATTCTGGACTGGGCCTAACTGCTGTGGTATAAAAACTCGATGTGTTGTCTTTGATTCACCTCCAAGATGTAAAAACTGTCAGCATACTTCCAGATGCCGTGAATACAACCTAGGTGTATGGCTGGATACTATCGGAGGTTGGTTCTCGGGAAAATAGATCAAGTACACAATAGTTTGTAAATGAATAATCATAAATCTCGATCATAAATCATATCATAAATCTCGAATTTTCTGTTTTCTTATGAATACAATTTGAAATTCATATAGTTGTTCTTTATTTGATCACCAAAGTCTCTTTTTTTTTTTACTATGAATGAATGTTTATTTCTGTATAATTTTGAAACCGACTGTTGTTGGAAATAAAACGTGCTATGCATTGTAAGAAGTTATGATTTGAACCTAAATAACAAATTTCATATTTTCATAGCAAGCACTCGTATTGAAGTCATATCCTATTTAATGTACATATTTGATAGAAAATCCTATTTAATGTACAGTGAAATACTACAATACAATCTACTCTGACAGGTAAAATATTTTCTAGTTGCAGCTTTTTTCCAATTCGACGCATGAATGAAAATTAGTAATGGATTCCTAATCTCTATAATAATTGAATTATTATGAATAATGATAAATGGATTATTAGAACAAGACGATTTTGCATATTTCATTACTGAGATGAATAACTGAACCTTGCCGCTAAACTTTTACATGAATATAGGAAAATAGAATACCAGAAAAGTATTCGCGACCATGTTATACTTCTAGTAGAATGGTCTAGCTATATAAATTTTATATAAATTATAAGTTTTTTTTTAAATACTTGCCTTTTAAACCCCCATAAATATTATTTCACTTCTTGTTCTGTTTAAAGTACATTTTTTCAAAAAATGTAAATGTACTATAAAGAAAACTGAGCTTATATTTTCTGCTACATTTTTACATTTGCGTACAATGTAAAAATATTAATCACGATAGAGGAGAAATATCGTAAACTCACGATAGAGGAGAAATCGTTTCAATTCAAGAAAAATTGCCCCATTTAATTAAAGATGTATTGTTCTTGAGATACAGTATTTCTTCGCATATTTCTTCAATTTTATATTTAATTTTACCGTTCGAAAATCATGGAAAAAAATTATGCGCGTAATCTCGATAAATGCGGGTACATTAAGAACATAACAAAGCAAAAGTAGTCAAGTTTACCATAACTATCATCATACCATACCATAACTATCATTCTATATCTATCATACATTATTCTGCGCCTTTTTAGGAAAGACACAAAAACACAAAAATTAAATTTCCTAACCTAAATAACTCACATTGCGTTGTGTTTTTACCGTAAATACCCTAATCTGTATACTGATGAATGTATGGAGAAAGATAAAATAAAACATACACTTAAATAATTCAAAGAAAAATGGTAATTTATTTAATAAATTGCATAGTTAAACTCAGTAATCAAAGTGATAAAATTCAAAAATAAAAACAGGAATTCAATTTTTTTCCAAAGTAGTATTGCATCCAATATGTCAAATAATTTAGAGCATGATAAGACTATTATAAACAGTTAAATTAAAATAAAAGAAAAAATACCCTCCCCGGAGAAAAAATTATAAAAACCATTAACAATTTCCTAGACAAACAGTGTAACCATTCCTCCTTTTTTTCAAACACTAGTTATTAACACTGGTATTAAAAGAACACTTTCAGATTTCAAAACAAAATACTTAATTATTGCATTTTTTTCAATTACCATAATAATACTAGGATAACCGGGTATAAGTTAGAGTGCAGATATTTTTTCTTCTTTTTTTAAGCAGAAAATCATTCTAATGAAAATTACCGGAACAATTAATTGCATACAAGCGGATTGGCACAGCATTAAATTATTCAATTTTATTTTTTTCTTTAACTATTATCCTCTCAACAAATTACCTAGTAAAACACATTTAATTTAGCCTAACCCAACAGTGACCAAAAATGCCAGAAAACAGAGGTTGAACTAACATAAGAAACATTAAATTAATAATTAATCTGCATAAGTGAAGAACGCTGGATTTATCAGTTAAATGAAGACGGGAATTAAATATTGGATATTAACTAAGCTTTAACTTATCTGAAAAGTATCCGGACTCTAGCTGGCGATAGAAATAATTCTAAGGATACCGGGGTGAACAGTTCTGGTAACAAATTGTAGATCGAAAAAAAACTCTTTTCCATATTACTCAGCTAGAACTTAAGAATTAGATAACAGCAATAGGCATTAACATATAACCTGAAGCAGGCGGGAACAGTTCTGGAAAGCGGCATTAACATATAACCTGAAGCAGGCGGGAACAGTTCTGGAAAGCGGCATTAACATTTAGCAGGATGCAGGCGAGAACAGTTCTGGAAGGCGATGGGGACCGGAGGAAGCACATCCCTCAAAAAGTGTAGAAGTCACAGCAAGATCATTTGAGTACAACCATACTTCCATTAGGATGACTCTCAGATGCTTCCTGAGGATATATTAGCGAAACTCGAAGCTTAAGTGAGTTTTAGCCAACGTTTAAGATGAAAGTTCCTTCCAGAAGCAACGTTTAAGATGAAAAGTTTTTTGAAATCCGAGGAGCATAAATTTATAGCACTACATGAGGATCTTCACTTTACGCTGGGAACGGTGTATTAGCCATTTTCTTCAAAGCGGTCAGACCAAGGTTTGGAAGTGATGCTATATTGAAAAAATTAGTTGGATGGAATTTAAGATCAAAGTTTAAGCAATTAAAAAAATGTTCAACTTGAAAGTTAAGCAATTAAAAAAATTAACTGACCTCCTGATTTTCATCAATTTATTTCTGAGGAAAGTGCCTTTGACTGTTTTCGTAAACTCGTTGTAAATTGTTGTAATGCTTAATTTTTTGTAGGTTTTTCCTTTACTGTGTAAGATTCTGTACTGTGTACTTTTAAGTTACAGCTGAATGTGAAGAATCTTAAGAACTGATAAGCGAATAATCGCTTGAGTTCGTGGGATAGGAAACAATAAGTAAGAGGGGTTAAATAACCCTTTATTACTCCGATAAGGTGTAACTGAACTCCGTCTTGGAGTTGAACAATAAAGCCTACACTCGGGCTTGAACTTAAGAGACTAAGAACTGAACTAAACTAATCTTAATTAAAAAGATATAAGCCGACGCTATCAAAGTTCTAACGCAGTTGGCCCTTTAACGCTAATAAACTGCAAAGCTATCAAGGCCGAGCGTAATAATAGCTTAACAGTGTTGTAAAGAGAGAAGTAGAGGGCGCTGCTTGGCAGTAGCGTAATGCATGTAAGTAGAAACGAAATATCGTTTGATTAGGCAATATGATTTCTGTGAAGGTAGTCCGCCTAACAATAGGACAGTTGTAAATATGTAAATATAACGAATAATAACTAGCATTAGAAAAACTGAACCATCGGATGTTTTGTACTTGCTCTACGGGCCGCCATGGATAAATGCAGGTTCGTCACAATGGTGCATCTTACGGAAATGTTTGGATTTGTTAAAGTGAACTTCACGAGGAAGGATGTGTGCAGACCATGCCCTAGGTAACAGCATGATTATTATTAAATTTTGAACGTGTTTGATTTGAATTTTGATAATTTGCAGTCTTGGGTACCTTTGTGTATTAACGCGAAATAATGGCAAAACTAGATAGATTAAAACGAAAGAGAACCGCATTGAGAACGGTAGTATCTAAACTATTAAAGAAAGTCGAGGATAGCTTAGCAAAGAAAGATACAGATGAATTATGCGAAGTGCATGAATTATTAATAGAAAAGAAAAGTAATTTGAAAGAATTAGACGAGGCAATTCATTCCGTAATTGAGATAGATTCTCTAGAAGCGGATGTAGTTAGTTCTGAGGAATATCAGGAAAATGTTCTCGAGCTATTAAACGAATTAATCGAATGTTGGAAGAGGATAAAAAATAAGTATTAAAGATCCTGAACAAAACTTGGTTAGACTGCAAAATGTACAAAGTACGGTAAAACTTCCAAAACTAGTTTTAGAGAAATATTCAGGTGATCCTGAAAAATTTACGGAGTTTTGGAACAGTTACGAAAGCACTATAGACAAAAACGAAAGTCTTAGTAAAATAGAAAAATTCGCATACTTGAAAACATTACTTACAGGTGCCGCGAGTAATGTAGTATCTTCATTAGAATTAAATGCAAAAAATTACGATGAGAGTATAAAAACTTTGAAGGATAGATTCTGAAAAAAAGAAATAATAATTAGCCAATTCATGAACAAACTATTAAATTTAGAACCAGTAAGGAATTCAAATAATATTAAAGCTTTACGTAGGTTCTATGATGAAATCGAAATTGCAGTTCGGAATTTGGAAGCGGAAGGAGTTATGAAAGGTTCATTTGGTCCGTTATTAATACCTGCGTTGTTAAAAGCTATTCCAGAAGAGTTCATTCTGAAATTTAATCGAAGGAAAAACCCAAATGAAGAAATTAATGTATCTGACTTGTTGGACTTCATAAAGCGAGAAACTGAATGTCGTGAAGCGTCGAGTTTATTGACGCGAGATAAAAGAAATACCTTGCCTCCACGTTTCGAACATGCTAAGTCTGATTGTAAAAAATTCACAGAAATGTACCTACGGCTGCCAGTTTCAATGCTGTTGATAATCGTGCATGCATCTTCTGCGAAAAGTCCCATAATTCATTTTCTTGTGATAAAAGCATTAAAGAAAAATTGTGTAAGTTACGTACTGAAAATAGATGCTTTATTTGTTTTCGAAAATATCACATTTGGAAATCGTGTAGGAATAAAACTAACTGCTTAAAATGCGGGTTTAAGTCGCATCATGAGTCAGTTTGTACGAGTAATTTAAATCGTAACAAAGCGCGAATGGCTTCAAATCAAAATATAAAAGAATTGTGCGAAAGCTCGCGAGACAATTCAGTAGATGAAACACAAAACTCCCCAAAAGAACACACGCTTTCTGTTGTTCCTTGTGATAAATCATTGAAGAAAAATGCTTTATTGCAAACCTGTTCAGTGTTAGCTCATTATGACCGAAGGTCAGAGTTAACTAATTTAATTTTCGATTGTGGTGCTACACGAAGTTTTGTTCATATTAGTGTAGTTAAGAAATTAAACTTAAAATTTGTTGGAGAAGAAACATTGTCTATTTAGTCTTTCGGAATGAAATACGCAGTACCTAAAACATATAAGGTTGTCGAATTCTGTGTTTCGGATGCGAAGCAAAAGAACAAAATAAAAATCAGCTGTCTCGTCACTGACGCCATTACGGCTGCGCATATGACCACGCCGTCAAAACAAACACTAAAAATGATGTATGAGTGCGGATTACGAATCGCTTGTTTATGTAAAGGAAGCGTTGGAATTCTAAT